AGCTGCTGACATCGCAGCCCGTCAATCGAAACCAAGCACTAGAAAGCAGTCTAGTCTGGTACTGAGAATTCACACTCGAGACGACAAGCACCGTCATGACTCTCCCTTGGCACCGAAAGGAGTCGCCGCAGGCAGTGGCTTCGTGTATGCAAAAGAGCCATCCTCCAGGGCCCTCGGTCATGTCCTGCATGTCAAAAGTTTCCACTAGGAGTTGGTCATACATAACAACCCGGGCCAATTCAGGAGGATGAAGGCGGGCTTGCTTCCTTCAAGCCACAAATAGACTGTCTACCCGAGGCGTCACTGGAGGGGCAGGTTGCGGGCACCGATGATCAGAGTTCTTGCCATGTGCTTTAGCTGTCCGAAACACGAGGACATGTTCAGCAATCTCTTCAGGAGACAGCAGTTTTTAGTCGCCTCTTCCGAGAAAGACAGGAAACAGAGTTCATAGAACTTGATGCGAGCAAACAGGAAAATTCCCCAGTACCTCTGTAGCTTTTGGCCCCTTGGGAACTGTAATGTTTGCACGCCGCTTGAAAGCAATAGTCACAGGCGTACCACTGCAATGTCACCATTCTAGGTTTAGAGAGAATTGGCTCTGCCAGCCGCCTTGGTAGTTCTCAGAAGGCTTGAAGAGGCGGAAGACTTCGGACTTGAACATAGTTCAGAACAACCGAGTTGAAAGGTTTCAGTCCGGGAGGCAAACTTGCACCCAAATGGGCAAATCGACTTTATTGCCTCTACCCAACCATGGCCAACCACGCCAACCTAGAAACGTCAACCCAAAATACGAGTCATCACAAGTTTGTTATTGATTATTGATTGTGCTGCGCCCTGCCCAGCTTTGCTTCGGCCACTGACCAACCAACCCCAAATCCCGTCCTTCCAGCCATCCAACCAAGAACAAAGAGGGTGCACAGTGGCACGGAAGACAACTCGGCACTTGGAAGCGAATCCAACGTTGTGAATGTGCGATCTTCATCCTGTCCTACGTGGCTTGAATCACCGTCCTCGTACGCCTCGATGGCCCTACCAATTCGATAGATGCCTTCCTTGAATATACCCTGCAACGCCCGCCACCATGTGGTTGATCGCTGGCCTCTCAGGCTTCGGGACCACCATCAGCCACACACGAGACCCTGAAAATTGGTCACTGAGGCCTGGTGGGGAGGCTCCACGCTCGGTTCTGGGTCCTGCGAGGGGTCTAGACATGGTACAATCCATTCTATCCGGGGGAGCATTCGCATGAAGGAGGGGAATGACGGGGGCGGCGTCGTAGCCTCTGCCTTCTATTGGGTTCCCAAAAACTCTCAAACAGGGGGCTGCCGACGCGAGGGCAAAATTCTGAATGCTAGGCGGGGACTTGATCGTGTGCCGTGGACAAAAAGGGATAGGAAACAATACTGTTAGGGCACTGCCGACCCGGGTTTTCCTCTGGTCCTATATCATTGCTTGCCCTCGCTGTCCACAGGGAGCCAGTTCAGTCCCTTCGTTTACTCACAACATTCGTTTCTTGATCTCTGAGAAATCCAGAGCACCACACACATCCCGCAGCGTCCAGGCGACACCTCCTTCACCCTGCCCAGGCTACACTCACTATCATGCCTTCCAAATTCACAGAGATACTTGATCCTCAATACCAAACAACATCACCTCAGGACGATGTGCGGTTGGAGGACATCATAGGTGCCGCCAATATGTCAGTTCGAGATCGAACATCCTCTGAGGCCAGTTCGACGAGTCACAGTTCATCAAGTGCCTCAAGTTCCGACAGTGACCGTGTCGAGGAGAAGCAGAGGAGAAAAAGGCTCTCACGCTTACTGTCAGGAGGCAAGCGATGATTCTCATCAGGTACAACTTTCTCTATGCAACAGAGAATACACAATCACGACCTCATGGGATCGACGGCACCATTTAGCAACAGTTATCGGCGTACACCTTCCTGACGACCACACAAAATGTCCTTTATTGGCGACTTCTTTCATCTCGATGCGACAGAGCAGAGGCATTTTAGAGGAACGTGCATACCGAGTGCTGGCGCCCTTCGCTCCTTTCATTTCGTTCCCACAGATTTTCATTCACCATCACCCCATTGCGACAAATGGAAAGGAAGGAGATGAGCGAAAAAAAATTGCCTTGTGGAAGCGAGGGACCGGCCCGCGCGTATGAAATTCAGCCAGTCGAGACGGGTTGCCGTTCCCACACCAGACACTTCTAGACCCGAAGCAACTCGAATTTGATGTGAAACTAGCTCAGCAAAAAAAAAGGGGGAGATCAGCATGGGCCCTGCAATTATTCATATTATTCTGGAACGCAACAGCGAGTTCTCCTACCGACTCCCCTCCTCGGAGAAGTATAGAAATCAATTCTCGAAAGCGGTGGTGTCCGGTAGTGCGGAAGATGGAGATTGCCATTTGCTGTATATGGACGGGACGACAGATCCGAGACAGCCAGACTCTCGCAAAGACGGGGAATCTCACGATCGTCTTCAGTGAGGTGGAAGCTGGTGATCCGGTCGAATGAACTTGAATACAAGTCGCTGGGGTCGTCGATGTCGCCCATTGCTTTGTCCATGTTGGCCTCACCACCATATATATCCATGTTACCTGAATTGGAGAGATGCATGAGAGATGCATGGTGGCTGGCAAACACCCTCGGTCCATGTCACACTGCAGCAGAGGGGAAATGTAGATCTGCATCGATCCATTTTAAAAGATACATTTTACGATAGAATGAAACGAACGAAATGATTGAATCTTTAGCGTGAGCTTTGGTTGCAGACTTGTATACATACTATCAGCGAATGCTAAGAACACGTACAAGTAGCTCGAGAACTACGAGGTACAATAATTGGGGTTGTGGCCCGCCAGGGAGGGTTGTTTAGTTACTCGCACAGGCATCATCCTTACAGGTCGAAGCCTAACAGCATGCCTCCATGCCTAGAACCAGCCACGATATAACGCTCTCCCGGCCCACGTGTAAATCTCACTAGCCCCCAGAAGCCACAAAACTGCCACCAACTCCGGGCTTCATAGTTTAAAGAAATATGAGTTGAACACGCCCAAAAACACCCCAATTTATGCCGGGAGGATGGCCGAGGTAAATATCTCCCCAGTCTCTCTTTTCTTCAGCGGACCCGAGTTGGCTAACAGATGTGATGTAGTGGTTTAAGGCGCTGTGTTTAGGTCCCTATCATTTCCAAACCGCAGTGGGAAACCTCGTGGGTTCGAATCCCACTCCTCTCAAATCTATGAATTCTTTTTTTTTTTTTTTTTTTCTTCTTGAATCTTGCTTGGTGTCTCGTTGTTGTAAGGTGAGGATTGACTTTTTACTGGTTTCTGGTGTAATAGGTGGGGAAGGAGGTGGACACGGACTCCTGAATTGGAATGGCGGGCGCTGGTTGGGTTGCATGTGAAAAAGACAGGCCACGACGCGTCTTGGACTGGTTTGTTTGTTTGATGCTCCAATGGTCGACGCTCTCTTTCGAAGTCTCTGAATACTGGCCAAAGAACTCTGCAAATTAGAAGGCGACACTGTTCATCAGATACATACTTGTTTCCCGGTATTCCCTCTCGAAGCGACACAAGAATCCGCAGCTCTCCAGACCACCAGAACAAGGGAAAACGACTTGATCTCGCATGCGACTGATATAGGGAAAGGAAAAACTCCCAGAAATGGCGACATCGAATAACAGCAACATGCGCTCTTCGATGGATGAGTCCCAGTCCCATCATCAGCCAAGTGAATTTCAGATTCGACGCGCTGCGCTGGTGGGCGAGATTGGCGAGGTGGGTTTGATTCTAATCCTGATTGCCGAGTCCTGTGTCTATGTTCGGAAGCCCGTGAAAGTGTCTCTACCAGCAACGGAGTGATGGTGCGAGGTTGCGATGTCAAGAGGCGAGACATAGAGATCGCACTGGCCGTCCCTCTGCTTCATCCATTCCTTCATCGCAAATTGACAACCTCTTTCCTCTACTCTTCAAGTTCCTCCAAGCACAGACGTATTTTGGAACAACAGCGAGCTGACTTCGCTGCTTCGCCCTCCCTGGCGGTGTGTGCAAGGCTTTTAGTCGCTAGAACAAGTCCTCGCACAGATGAATGCTTTGAATCGCAGCCTCGAGGGTATCATTGAAGTAAGTAAGCATGGCAGGTCAACCTGCTCCCCGGCTCCCCAGCTCCTAACCCTACCCGCCTTTCCTTTCTATACACCTTTTTCCCGCTTCTTTTACTCCTTGCAGCGAGGCCCTCAGTCCGGCGGTTTATTGACTGTCTGACTGACTGACTAACTCGATGGGTCACGAACAGATTGGGAACGAGTTCTCGAGTGTCGAGGCGCTGTGGAGTCAATTCGAGACCGTCATGGGCAGAACAGCGGGCGACGAGGCCGCCGACTCGAATGCAGACGCAAACGATAACGTGGCCGAGGCCGTGCATTCGACGGCGTCAGGGAATGCAGAAGACAAGCGTGGCGGATGAAATGTCGTCCATTGTCTGCGTGTTCCTACCCTACTTACCCGTGTAGGTTGCGGTGACATCTCATGCTGTGTCTTTAGTCACGAGCTTTGTGCAGTTGGGCAGGTTTCTTGGACCGTGGTTTGGATTGTCAACTATGCTGAAAGGAGGGTCGGAGAGACAATGACGATACCAAAACGACTCACGACGAGGGCATCGGAAGCAGAGCATGTTCCACAGAGCATGTATTCATTCTTGGAGCAGCTATTCAATGCGCTGCTCATGCGGCAATCACATCAAAGCGAGCCACAGAGCTTCAAGCTCGAGTCGAGGCTTGCTCGCACAGCGACACCCCTTCTAAAACCAGCAGTCTCATTACAGCGCCTCGTCATGCAATTTGATTGCATCCAACGCCATCCCATATGCGTACCATCAGACATCAGCGGGCGATGTTAAGCCCAAAAGGTCAATCATACAAGATCAAAGTTTTGTACCCTGAGAATGGAAAGGTGTGATCTCCTCAAAGAGTCAATTCCTGATCCACAGGATCATAGGAATGCACATTTCCTCTTCTTCGCCTTCTTGACCTTTACCCCTTTGTTGTTTGGCTTCGCTTCAAAGCTCTCCTCTTCAACCTGGATGGCAGTGTTGATGGCCAAGTCGAATACCTCTTGGATGCCCTTGTTCTCCTTGGCGCTGCACTCAATATACCTAGCCCCCATTCGTTGAGCTACTGCGGCTCCTTGTTCTGGTGTTACAGGGGTGAGGCCTTGAGTCCGCAGGAGTTCGATGCAGGTTCGTTTGTTACGGAGGTCTGATTTGAGACCCACGAGGATCAGGGGCGTTGTTGGGCAGAAATGTAGAACTTCAGGATACCACTGTGATGGCCAGTCAGTACCAAGTATGATCCAGCACGCGAGGATGCCTCACCTTGTCCATGACATTTTCTAGTGAGTTGGGGCAGTCAATAGCAAAGCACACAAACAGCAGGTCTGTTTCCGGGTACGACAGTGGTCGTAGTCGGTCGTACTCTTCTTGTCCCGCTGTATCCCAGAGTGCGAGCTCGACGGTCTTGCCTGTGGGTTTGTGGATGGTCTGCGTGATGTAATTTTCAAACACGGTCGGCACGTATTTCTAGCCATCGTCAGCTATTTGCTGCTCACTCCCCTCTCTTATCCTGCATACCTCCGGAAAATAGCCCTGTGCATAGCTGATGAGGAGACAGGTCTTTCCACAACCTCCATCTCCGACCACAACGAACTTCTTGGAGTGCGCAGGTGGTTGGGTGATATTCGTGGCTTCTGACAGTCGTCCCGCACTGCCATAACTCATGTTTGTGCTGACTGTGCCGTTACTTGTTCTCGTACTGGGTGCTCGGACGGGTCTTTTCTTTGGTGAGGAGGGGGTGATGTAGGAAGATGGACCCTTTTCGGACAGGACGGTGGATGATCGCAAAGGATAGTGGTCGGTTTCTGCCATGGTGAGTGAAGTTGGAGGGTGGGCTCTCTGTTGTGAAATGGAAAGTTAACGTGGAGAGCCCGACCGTTTGAATGGGAGCGGCAGTATTATATGTGGTGTTAATGCCTGAGGGATCTGAACATGTGGTTCAAGCAGGTTTCTGTTGAGATTTCCGAGTCAATAATAGCCGTCTCATCGTGGGATGACTGCGGTGGACTCTTTGTTGTCCGTTGTGGTTGCCCAAGTAACCACTGCCCAAACTGCATGTGAAACGCAGGTTTCGTGCAGACCTGACCCTATTTTCAGCTGCTAGGCCTGCGTCAATTGCGACATTATCGCTTATCGACATGGTTCCTGCATGCACAAGAACCATGTCGAAAATCAGTTCGTCAATGCCCTCCGGGTCGTGCTGTTGTTGAGGAGAACTCAGCTGCACCAGTTTTGCAGGCAGCCGAGCGGACGAATGAGATAGCCCACACAATCTCCAATTCAATCAATGTCCCTGAATCACCACACAACTCGCGACCACGACAGCACTTCGACAGCTACCTCCCGCATTCTTCGCCGATAATCTCGATGCCTTCCCTTGCCTTCCACGGTCGATGTTAATGCATCATCCTCAGGAACGTACTTCTTTCCTCGGCCAGACGTGGATCCGATGGAAGGGAGCTTTGCCCGCTATCGCCCGTTACAGAAATGAACAAGGAGAAAGATAGGCCAGATGCCGGGTTGAGGTCGCTCGATCACTGTATGTAGCGAACAACTGATGATACCTCTGCGGAATCATTCTGACTTTGCTTCAGACAAGATCAGACTGCCACGATGGCGCTACCTATTCAGAGAACAACTCCTCCCTGTTGTACGCTGGGAGACCCCCTACGTCGCCTGGCTACAAGACACCCTACGAACCCCCGCCTTTGATACATACTTTGCAACGTCGGCAAACCTGGGAACACACACATTCTTCATGGTCATGTTGCCTATTTTATTCTGGTGTGGGAACACAAATCTGGGACGAGGGTATGCAAGTGCCAATCAATGGCGGGCTCATTCTGACGTGCAGTAGGATGGTCCACGTCCTGGCGTCTGGAGTTTTCTTCAGTGGGTTCCTGAAAGATCTCCTCTGCCTACCTCGACCACTTTCTCCGCCCCTAACTCGAATCACCATGTCTGGGTCTGCTGCCCTCGAGTACGGTTTCCCTTCCACGCACTCGACCAACGCAGTCTCGGTTGCTGTTTACTCACTTTACCTCCTACGGCAAGAGACCAACGACCTGGATACGAACCTCAAACTCGGGCTCCAGATTCTGGCTTACTTCTACGCTGTTTCAATTGTGCTTGGCCGGCTATACTGTGGAATGCATGGCTTCTTTGACGTCATTTGGGGAAGCATTCTCGGTGCTCTGATAGCACTTGTTCAATGCCTCTATGGCGAGGCCTTTGATGACTGGCTCCACGGCGGCGACTTGAAACGGGTCGTGCTTGTCATTTTGATCATCTTGGTCCTAGTTCGCATTCACCCTGAACCCGCAGATGACTGTCCTTGTTTCGATGACAGCGTTTCATTTGCTGGTGTCATGATTGGCTGTGAGTACGGTGTTTGGCACTTTGCCCGCACCTCCTATGCCTGGTCAATCCCCACTAGAGGCACTATTCCATTCGATCTCGAAAAGATGGGCTGGGTTATGACATTGGCCCGCATTTTGCTGGGAGTGCTTGTGATTTTTGCATGGAGGGGCATCATGAAGCCAACCCTTCTGAGGATACTTCCACCAATATTCCGTGTGATTGAACAGCTGGGGCTCACTTTACCACGACGATTTTTCAAACCGGCCTCGGAGTACGAGACCATTCCACGGCAGCCCAATGACGACGACATCATTCCGCCCGCGCGGGATATTCCCCATCTGTTGTCATCATTCCGACGCAGAAGAGCCATCTCGGTCGGGCCTCAGTCCGAAGCAGATGCGTATGAAACACTGGCCTACCGTGAAAAGAGGAGGAGGGATAGCAAAAATGCTCTGGAGGCACTGACACCACCACTGGAAGGCTCGCCCTCATCCTCACCCTCTCCTGACCCTGGATACTTCCAGGGTAATGAGACTGTCTCGGGAAGGAAAAGATCTAGCAGCTTGGAGATGTTCCGCGCGCAGATGGGCACAGGGATGGAAGGGCTGTCACCAATTCCTGTGATTGCGCCCGCAGATGGCAAAATACGCACTCCGGAGGAAGATCAGGCAATGGATGAATTACAGGAACGACAGATATTCTTGACCATACAGAAACCTCGAGTCAGGTATGATGTGGAAGTGGTGACCAAACTTATCGTGTATTCGGGGATCGCTTGGCTGGCTGTTGAGGGAGTCCCGGTCCTTTTCAAGTATCTCGGACTGAGCGTACTTTGACTCAAGGGAGAATGATGGAATCGAAAAGTGTTTTGGTTCGCAGGAATGTGATCGCGGATGTGGAGTCCATTGTAAGGCAACCGTACTGCGTACACATCAAATGATACAATGTTACGAGTGTCAACAGTTGTGTTCGGGTGTTTATTTGTTTACGTCTAGTAGTAGTAGTACCAACCACTGGTCCTATCAGTACCTAGGTACAGCCTCCATGTGGTAATGGGGGCTGACCCTTCCATCCTGCATGTACTGTATTTAGCTTCGTGAACGAAGGCGGTATCGGATATGAAATCCATTGTCTTGGATACGGCGGGGCGGCAGAAAATCAAAATGGCCAATCGCTACAGTGCCGCATTTGGCATTTTGGAGAATCGCGTCTCTCTCTCTGCGATGATTATCCTGCATCTTTCAATCCATCATATAATAAAGACAATTCACTATTTCCCTTGACCCAAGTGACTTTGTGTTTACTCTTACGACTCCCCGACTCAGCGCGACTCACCCCTTCTCACACTCCTATGCTGTCAGATAACTCGCTCCCGATCTTTGTACCTCTGTTGCTCGGTCTCATCTTCATCCTGAATATCATCCAGTTCTCGACACTCTCAGTCTACATCCCGCATCGTGGCATCCTCAAGCATCCCTCGCCTTTCCAAAATCCACAGCCATGGCTGACACCTCATCTTTCATGGATTGGCATCCTCAAACGCCTCCTCCTGCGCACAATCCGTACCAAGATAGATATGTGCCTGGTGGTTGGCCTGTCGACCCTCCGACCCCTCCCCCTCCTACCACCGGCGTCTTCTTGCCCCCTCGCAGACCTTCTCCTCTTGACCACATCATCCCTGCCGCGAAGAGAATATGTACAGGCCTTGGAGGTTTGGCTGGACTCGGTTTCCACGCAGCCGCACAACTCAGCAGACGTACAATCGATGCCACAACCACTGTGGTCACTGTCCCTACTGTCTTCATTGTCCGACGATTCCAGCGGCGTCGCCATGAGCAGAGACCTACCCTGCAAAAGCGACAAGCTGCACCAATATCTCTTCCTCCACCACTTTCACAATCACCATGGAATCGAGCTGTTGCCAAAGAACTGGCCGCAGCTCAACGAACAGCACACCCCCCTCCGCAAACACCCACAGTCCCGCCTCAGCGAGTCCCCAAACCCATTCCGCCTACAGAAGAACAACATGAATACACAGATGGTGTGTTGTACGAAATCCCAGAGTTCAGACCACAATACGTCTTGAACCGACGGAGCCAAAATGCTGCTCCCCGAGGTCCGATTCGGCGCACACGTGTCGTCGATCAGGTCTTTCCCCAAATGCCTCGATTTACACCCCCTCGAGAACCTAAACCAGCTGATCTCCCAACTCCAGACGAAAAGTTTGAGAAGCCTTTGGTAGAATGCGCAAAGCTAGAGTCTCCATATCCGCAACTGAAACCAATTCCTGCCTCACCCCCTTCGCCCGCAGTAACCATCATCTCCACCGACTCCGCCACACCGAGCGCGCAGTTGCAACACGGATTACAAGCGGTCATTGAGAGCGACACAGAGTCAAGCAGTGTTATATCCTCCATCCAGCGATCTAGAAAGAGACGCATCCTCACACAAGGCTCCCGTTTGACCGAGAACGACGAAACCACTGCTTCGTCGAAGAGAGTCCAGACCCAAGGTCCGCGTGTGGAATCACAGACTCCCAAAATTGCCATTGTTGTCCAAGACGCACCATCATCAGAAACTCCCAAATCCCCAACTCCTACCGACACGACTTTGTTGACACCACCACGTCTAAGACTAAGACGATTCAACTCTCCCAGATCGGTCCTTCGAAAAGAGGTTCTCCTTAAAAGTCCAAAGACTCCGTTGTCAGATATCTCATCCATGTGTGACTGCTCACCAGGAAACTATCACATCGACGCACCAAGATCTCCCGTCAAGAGCGAGATTTCTTCCTTCTTCGATGGTACACCACCCCCCAACCCAGAACTGGATGCTCATGTTTTCAGAATTATCATGTCAGGAGGCGGATCCCCAGTCCCAGCTTCCAACACCCTCGCTGAGAGCGAGGCTCCTCGAGAGACATCAATATCGACCGCAATCGCACCATCCGGACAAACCACCAGCGGAACGTCGAATCTCGACGAACCTGCCACGCCAGAAACCCAAAGCGAGGCAAACAATAACCTTACCTCTACCACGGTAAAAGTGGCGAACGAGAATACGGAAGATATTCTTGGCCTGGCCAACCAAGAACATCATCCCCAACTCAACAATGCCACAAAAGACGTGGAACAACACATGGACACACAGGAGAATGAAACTTCGAACAATGAATCATCAAAAACACCCAGACATGTCACTCCAGAAAAGATAAAAGCTGCAAGTCCAGTCGACCTGACTGATGACAAAGATGGCAGTGAATCCAGCTCCTCAGCAGCATCTTCCCTACACACTCCCGAAAAGCAATTTGCAGAACTCAGGCTAGATGATCTATATACACCAGACCATCCGACCCCCAAAGCCACACCACATTCCTCCGAAAAGACCCAGAGAGTCACACGCGCAGAGTCCAAGAGACTTGCGATCCTTGAAGAGAAGACCCATTACGAAAT